GACGCTGACTAGACATAGCGCGCAGACGAGGAAGGGACGGGTGCCCCATCCGGTGGGGCCACAGAACGGTGGGGTGGGCAAGCGACCGGCAGGAGCACGACGCAGCGACTGGAACAGACGTAGGAACCTGACACGACACAGACACCTGGGGGGACGAAGCAACCTGGTGAGACACGGGGACCCGAACGGGGGGGGGAACCGGGGGCAGTGGCAGTAGGGGGGGCTGCTGGTGCGGCCGCTGGTGCTGCTGCTGCTGCTGCTGCTGCTGCTGCGGCTGCGGCTGCTGCTGCGGCTGCGGCTGCTGCTGCGGCGCACGCGGGCCAGTGTGAAGAGTGTAGAGACCCGAGCCCGGCTCAGCAGTAAAGGTAGCAAGAGGCTGGTAAGAGTCTCCGTCAACACACACCGCAGTCTCTCCAGAAGGCTCAAACCACACACCCACGTGCTGACTCACGAGGGGTCGCACGCCCACCAAGTTCCGGGAGAACGAGGGGACGTGAAACCCAGTGAGAGACCCGGAGGGAGCAGCAGGACACGGTAAAGTGGTAGTGTGACGGGCAGTGACTGGTCCCGTAGTGGGATCAGCCAACGCTACAGAAACAGGCGCAGGAAGTGGTGTAAGTGTCGTGCTGTCCCGGAAGAAGCAGTGGGAGGCTCCAGAGTCCAGTGTGAACGACAGCGAAGCGTCCCCTGAGGTAGTCGCTGGTCTAGAGTCTACACAAGTACCTACACTAGCAACAGGCAACTGAGCAAGACTAGCACCTAAGCTAACAACACCAGAGTAAACAGAGTCAGAAACACTAGAGTCAACAACAGGATACATAGCATGAGGAGCACTAATCAGATCAACTAACTGCTCAGCAGACATGCCCCACAGAGCGGAGCCGTAGCGCTGAACCAGAGGAAGCCAGTCAGGAGCAGGACCGCCAACCCCGTAGGTCAACCGGACCGTGTCAGTAAGCTGAGCAAAGCACTGACCAGGGGGGTGAAAGCGGCCACAAGGGTGGCCCCGACGAGGACCTGTCTGAACCTGGTAGGGGCAGGGAGGGTAAGCCGCACCGCGCTGGGGCTGACGCAGCCCCGACCCCGGAGCCAGCTGCTGACGCTGCTGCTGCTGAGGCTGCTGGGAGGAAAGGGGCTGCTGCTGCTGCTGAAGGTGCTGCTGACGCTCAGCCTGGTACCACGCCGCTGCTCCACCTAGCGGGGCCGGCAGTACAGGAGGCGACTGACGAGCTCGGGGGTCGCCGCCACCAGCAGGTGCAGTGGAGTCACCAGCCGCTGCACGAGGGGTCTCTCCAGACGCTGCACTCCCACCACCCCCAGTCGCAACAGCACCCCCACTACCTCCGCTACCTCCGCCTCCACCTCCACCAGAACCACCTTTCTTGCCCCCCCTGCCGCGGGACCGCGACGCAGTCGTAACAGCAGCCGCAGTCGCGTCAGTAGCGGCAGTGGCAAGAGAGGCAGTGAAGGTGGGTAACTGCGGGACTGTGCACCCGTGGAAGAGTGGGGGGGACACAGTACCAGAGGCGGCAGCTACCGAACGAAGGTTGCTCTCGACGTCCTTGAGTGCAGACTCAAGGACCTCGATAGTCAGCTCACTAGGGTGCTTCAGCAGAAGCGCGTCACGAACGGAGGCAAGGCGGTCAGGGAGGCTAGTGGCGATGAAATAGACAGTGATCGCCATGGGGGGAGGAAGCAGTGTAAGCTGTGCCTCAGTGCAAGCAGCGCGGTAACTAGCGTCGAGCGAGCGGAGGTGAGCGATCAAGTCAGCAGAGCGCTCAAACGAGGCAAGATCAGGAAACAGGAATGGGAGGAAAAGACGGCCAAGAGAGACACTAGCGGGAGTAGAGTAGCGGGCCTTAATCGCAGTGAGGTACGCAGCAGCGGTGCGAACCTGAGTAAAGTGGACCTCCTCGGACTCAGGGAGGAGGCTGCTGAGTGCGATGCAGGCCGCAGCGTCACGCGACGTCCAAGCCGTCCGGTCAGCGCGCTGACGGGCAAAGCGAGCCGTAGCAGCGTCGTCAGGAGCAGGGCCTAAAGCTGTAGGCTCGGGGGGCTCAGGGAGGTCACCAGTAGCGTGTGACCAGAGGGTCTCGCCCCCCTGGACCTGACTCTCTAACAGACGGCGAGCGCGAAGAAGCCAGACGGAAAAGTCAAGGGGTCTACCGTCAGCGTCGAAACGAAGAACTCGCGGAGTCGCCATAGTGAGGACTAAAGCGAACGAACAGGCGAGTAACAACCGGGGGGGAAGAGGACTCAGTCGCAGCGGAAGAGCGGGCTAGAGCGACGGGCCAGTACGTAGGGTAGGGCAACGGGCCAGGGCCTAGGGTAGGTCGACGGGCCAGGGCCTAGGGTAGGGCGACGGGCCAGGGCCTAGGGTAGGGCGACGGGCCAGGACTTAGGGAGGGCAACGGGCCAGGGCCTAGGGTAGGGCGACGGGCCAGGGCTTAGGGCAGGGCGACGGGCCAGGGCGTAGGGCAGGGCGACGCGACGGGGGAAAGGGCGGGAGCGACGCGACGGGGCAGGGCGACGCGACGGGACAGGGCGACGCGACGGGGCAGGGCGACGGGACGGGGCAGGGCGACGCGACGGGGTAGGGCGACGCGACGGGACAGGGCGACGGGACGGGACAGGGCGACGGGACGGGGTAGGGCGACGCGACGGGACAGGGCGACGGGACGGGGGGGGAACAGGCGGGCACGACGCGACGGGGGGAACGGGCGCGACGCGACGGGGGGAAAGGGCGTGACGGGGGGGGGGGAAAGGGCGCGACGCGACGGGGGGGGGGGGGGGGGGGGCGCTAGGCGACGGGGAGAAAGGGCGCTAAGCGACGGGGGAAAGGGCGCTAGGCTCGGTAACAACGGAACTGGTACGAACGAGAGGTAGGATCAGGCTCGGGAGGTACGAACGGAGAACGGAGGAACGGGATCCCACAGGATCCTAACCTAGCTGATACCATGTCAGAATGAGGAATGGTGTTTCCATTGATGTTGGTTGGGGTACATATGACAAACCCTAACTTCTGTACCCCCTAAGACAAACCTCACTACAGGCTACAACATTTGACACGTACCGACCTGCACACATATCCGTGCGCATTCAGAATTCGCCACCTTGCCACCCGATGCCAGGTGCTGCCTAAGAGACTATCGATTCGTGCCGCGGCGCATGGAGCTCTGACCGGTAGATTTGAGATAGAATTTCGAGTAGCCTCAGGAGCTTGTGTTGGCTCGTACAACTATCGACTATGCGAGGTCCAGGCCCTACGATATCAGGAATTTTTCCCTGAAATTCCTGATTTTCAGGGATTTTTTTGTACCTACCCTGATTTTCCAGTGTTCAGCTTTTAGGGGCACTGATTTTTCAGCCTTTAGGGGCCAGATGACTCTGAACTTTCAGGTTTTTTTTTTTAATGGACACTGATTACACTACGTTGTAACGAAACTGACACTGAATGAGATTCCTACACGTTCCGAGTGTAGTTGCTCGGAAGTACAGGGAACAGGGGATCGAACCCGCAAAAATGGCCGCTACCGGCCAACTAGGGTAGCTTTAGTCAACTGGAATCGAGCCCGAGACCTCGCGATTGTAGGACATAACCCCAACAACTACGCCAGTAGCCCTCATACATCCATTATTGCGTGCTGGCTAGTTTGTGTTATCTTTTTTTTTTTTTAAATTTCAATAGCCTTTTCAAAAAGGGAACACTGATGCATCAGACTTATTTGGAAGGTAACACTGAATTTTTTGGCGACACTGAAGATCAGGGATTCTACATAGAGGGACCCTGATGCATTAACGTGCCTAAAAGTGAATCATAGGGCCTGGCGAGGTCTACACGTGCGACTTGGGGTTGACTGGACGGTTGACAGACGAGACTGGCGATTGATGGAAATATCTATGGCGACTCGAATTACTGTCGCAAATCGTCGAAGGTGGTGGAATTGGCTATGAAGCTATACTTAGAAACAAGAGATAGCCGGTATTCAATGCGTTCCTAAAATCAATTGCAACTTACTTTCACTACACACCCAGTTGAACAGTTTCAGGCGCTCAAAATAGTAACCAAGGTATGCACCTTCATGAGATAACTGCAAGCGGGTGCTTCAAACAAGGGCCTGAATTCCGTTTTGACAATCAAAGCCCCAAAGCTACACCACTAGCAAATTGTACAAGTACAAGCATCGTATTCAGTAACATAACACAAAGTAGAAGTGTACTAGTGCATGTACAGTACACCCAACAACCAAGTCAGCCACAGCCACACGTTAATTCTCACTTCTTGCGCCTCCTCTTCTTGTCTCGGCTATCCTCACTCTCACTACTCTCTCTCTCACTGCTCTCGCTCTCACTCTCGCTCCCACTGTCACTCCCGCTGTCCGACCCACTATCACTCTCACTCTCACTATCACTCTCGCTATCACTCTCGCTCTCACTCTCACTCTCGGACACCTGAACAGGCTTCTGTTGCTGCATGATCAGCTTTGGCATGTTCTTCAGGTGTTCCCTCAGGTTGTCTGTCAGCCCTCCCAGACCGATAGAAGTGAAGAAGTTAATAGCGAAGCGCGTGTTCTTGGGCGTGTCTTTGGGGAAAATGCCGTCAAACGCCGCCCCCATGGTCGGGTCGCTGAGCCTCTCGTTCATCTTGCGCAGCCCCAGCTGCTCCGACATCTCCTGTTATGGTTGGTTTCAGGAAATAGGGGGAGGGGGAGAGAAGGGGGGAGGGGGGGGGGGTGGGAGGGGAAGGGGGGAGAGAACAAAGCACACGTTGCTGAGCGTCTCATTCATCTTGTGCAACCCAAGCTGCTCCGACATCTCCTGCTCGGGTTGAGGGGGGAGGGGGGGTGGTAATGGGACAGAGAGAGAATGGGGGTGGGGCGTTCGGGGGACACGGGGGAAACAGAGATGCAGATGAATGGTCGCTGAGCCTCTAGTTCATCCTGTGAAGCCCCAGCTGCTCCGACATCTCCTGTTAAGAGGCGAGTTTCGGGACAGAGAACAAAGTTTGGAGGTGGGGTGTGAGGCGGTGCTGGGGGTGTCTTCCCCATGGAGGCGAATACAAGAGCGCATCGCCAACGGCATGGAGTCGGTGGCGAGGAAGTGAGCAACGAGCCCACTGGGGCACCGCTCTGTGAGCAAAGAGCCCACTGTGGCACCACTCTGTGAGCAAAGAGCCCACTGTGGCACCACTCTGTGAGCAAAGAGCCCACTGTGGCACCACTCTGTGAGCAAAGAGCCCACTGTGGCACCGCTCTGTGAGCAAAGAGCCCACTGTGGCACCGCTCTGTGAGCAAAGAGCCCACTGTGGCACCGCTCTGTGAGCAAAGAGCCCACTGTGGCACCGCTCTGTGAGCAAAGAGCCCACTGTGGCACCGCTCTGTGAGCAAAGAGCCCACTGTGGCACCGCTCTGTGAGCAAAGAGCCCACTGTGGCACCGCTCTGTGAGCAAAGAGCCCACTGTGGCACCGCTCTGTGAGCAAAGAGCCCACTGTGGCACCACTCTGTGAGCAAAGAGCCCACTGTGGCACCGCTCTGTGAGCAAAGAGCCCACTGTGGCACCGCTCTGTGAGTGCGGTGTCAAGCTGAGCTTCACTGCGACTCACCTGGAACATGATCTTGATGAAAATGCGGGACGAGGAAGAGGTGTCTTCCTCTGTGAGGCGAATGTAAGAGAGAAGCGCCCAGGGCATGGCATCAGTGGCGAGGAAGTGAGCAAAGAGCCTGAGAGCACACACTCAGGCTGAAGTGAACTGACGCCCACCTGAGTTTTTTTTAAATAGAAGGCTTTTCACTATATCAAAGATACAGCAAAAGGGGCCACAGTCGTAACTGTTAGGAGGAGGGGGGCAATTACACAACAATGAGAGAGCCACCCCTCGTATGCAGCTACGGTGGTTTGTATCTGGCCCTCCGGTCCGTCCAGATCGACAGAAAATCATCACGCCACGTTAGCTTACTGGCCACCCTCGTGCTGGCGTTCTCCAACGCTGCAACTTCGTCATTGGCCAGATGCTTCTTGGCCACGTGCCTCTTCTTGATCCACGCCTTCCTCCGCTTGATGCCTTCATAGGTGTGCGCATGAAGGCAGAAAGCTGTCGCAATTCTCCGCATCACCTTTCTGCACTGGAACCTTCGCCCCCTGAAAACAGCATTACACCGTTCCACCCAGATTTGATGAAACGTAATGGCCGACACAGTCAGTTCCGGAAATCCGGAAGCAGCCCCTCCACGTTGGAAGAGCAGGTCACCAAGTGTCCTCTCATTCCGCGCTGGATTGAACCAGCGAATTGCATCCTTGAGGGCTCCCACGACAGGTTGGATGACACGGCAGGAAAACAATGCATGATCCACCGATTCCGCCTCCCCGCAATGTGGACACTTCGCCCGCTCACCCAGGAATTTCAAACTGTCCCCCACTTGCAAGTTGAAGCAGTGTGCGCGCAGCAGGACATCCCGCGCCCTTGCGGGAACCACATGGGAGTCCCTGCGCGCAATCGCCCGCCCCCAATCAATCTTCTTCCCCCACAACTGCTCCCACTCTGCACGGCGAGGCAGCTTGTCCGACTGCTTACGCCCCACCCCCAGTCCTACTCTCAGCTGCTTCAGTGAGGCTGCTGTCTTGCCCTCGCACAGCTCTGATTTTAGTAGTCTGCTGCGCGCCACGCCCAGCTCCCCAATCACCTCGTCTCCCATCATCGCCATCGGCGTAACCTCCGACATGGATAGTGCCTTAACCTTCGCTCCCTCAGGCACGACCCACGTCTTCCCATCGCCGCGTAGACTCATCTTTACACAGTAAAGAAGGCTGCCGCGGGCGCTGCGAATCTGCCACATCTTCATCCCCCTCACCGTCGTTCTCACCTCCGTCGTAGCTTCCGCCAATTCCTCCGTTGTGAGCGGTTTCAGGATACGCTCCTTCCACTCATCGCTTAATGCCTCCCTGATCGCCGTCGCTATTTCCGCTGCCTGCTTGCTGCCCAGGTCTCGCGCCAGCAGTTCTGGCGACTTCCAACTTCTGGTGCCATCCGCCCACTTCATGAGCAGATCCCCCACCATGATGATGTGCAGACATTCGTCGCCTTTGCGCCGTCCGAAGGGGTAACTGCCTTCACGAAGGATGTGTCTATTGAAGAGCACCCGTTCCATCTCAATGTCCCATCTGTTCCCCACCGCCAGGTTCTTGATAGCTGGCGACGCCATTGCCGCCGCCGTAATTGCCTTCCACCGCTCACTTCCTGTGCCCCACGCTTTCAGCAGCGCCTCATGCGCAAGGATTGAGGCGTAGCCGAGCGGGAGGTTTGCCGCACGCTCTGCCAACAACCGCCGCTGTGGCATTTCCTCCGTGAGCAGCTGCGCCAGCGAGTGAAGTGCCTCTGCGTCCAGCCGGTCTTTCAAGTTTATCACTCCGAGTCCCCCTTCTTCCCTTTTGAGTTGCATGAGGTCCCCGTTCCAGAGGATGAAGCCAGGCTCCGAGCTCGCCCGCCCGCCGGAGACAAAGGCATGACACAATCTCCTCAGCTCCTCCCAAATCGTGTTCGGCGGGGGATAGATTTGGGCCTGGAATAACGCTACGGGCATGACGTACGCGTTGACTACCGTTACCCGCGCCGTGGTGGTAAGAAATTGCGCCTCCCATTTTTTTTAGCTCTGCCTCCATTTTGCTTAAAGCCCTCTTCCACGACGGCTTTGCATCTCCTCCCGGTGTGATCCAGCCCCTAGCAGGCGCTCCGGGTCATCCCGCGATGCCCACTTGAAGGTCCCGTCTGCTGGCGGTGGTTCATCACGCTGACTCCCCAGCGGCAACACCACCGACTTGTCCCAATTAACTGCTAGCCCCGACATCCGCTCAAACTCCTTCAGCAGCAGCTCCGCGTCTCCCAGCTGCGAACGACCGTCGAGTAGCAGGGTAGTATCATCAGCGTACCCCAGGTAAGTCAGCCTCCCCGCGTCTTTAATCTTGATTCCTAACCATCTCCTCCTTGCCTCCTGGCAGAACGGCTCCACTGCGCACAGGAACAAGTACGGCGCGAGAGGGCAGCCTTGCCTCTCCCCAGTCAAGACCGGGACCTCCTCACCCAGCCATCCGTCATTGCAGATACGAGTTGCTGCGCCGTGATGCAGCCCTTCTACCCACTTCACGTAGGCCTCCGGGAAGCCCATCTTCCGCAGCACGTCAAACAGATACCCCCGCGCCACCGAGTCAAAGGCTTTTCGGAAGTCAACCAAGAGCATCAGCAAGTCTTCTTTTCCCGCATTCGCGGCATCAATCACATCTGCTGCAACCGCCACCGCGCCAGCGATGCTCCTTCCCGGTAAGAAGCCAAACTGCCCAGTCGACACCACGCTTTCCAGCTTGCTTTTTATCCGGTTTGCTAGTAACTTCGCAATCAGCTTGTATACTGTGCTTAACAGTGTAATCGGGCGATAGTTCTGCAGGTCATCTTTGGCACCTTTCTTATGCAGAAGCACAGTCACAGCAGTTGAAAACTCCCTGGAGAGTACCCCCGTCCGCTCAAAGTCCTTCAGAAACCGCATCAGCTGCCCCCCCAGCAGATCCCATTGTGACTCCCAGAGTTCTTTCGGGAGGCCATCACGCCCCGGCGTCTTGCCCGACGCCATTTCTGCCAGCGCGCGTTTGACCTCCGCCTCATCCCAAGGTGCACTGAGCGCCGCCGCGTCCTCCTGAGAGAGACACTTGTCCACCTCCCAGTCCAGCTGTGAGTTCCCGCCCGCTGCAAACAAGTTTGTGTAGAAGTCCGACGCAGCTTTCAGCGCCTCCTTAGCCCCTTCATACCGGGACCCCTGGTAGAGAATGTTTGCCAGCCGTGTCTTAGCCTTCCGCGCCTTTACCCTGGAAGAGAGGAAGCCTGTGGGAGCTTCGCCGTTCATTTCCACCTTGATTCCCGCCTGCTCCTGCATCTTACAACGCCTTCCATCCGCGTAGGCCTTGAGTTTCGCTTCACATTTCGCTAGGCGCGCCTTCGCCCTTAAGCATCGAGGTTTACTCATCACTTTTTGCCTCAGCTCCCCAACCTCCCGTTCCAGGTGTGCCGTCGTAGCTGCTACACGCTTCCGCTCCTCCACTGTGTAGGCCTTGAGACCTATCGTCAAGGATGCCGTTAGCTCCTCCAGACCCCCCCCCTCTCTGTATTTTTCAGGACGATTCGCTCCACCCGCCGCTGCACCCCAGGACGTGGTACTTGTGACGCCGGAAGCCTCCAGAGCCCTGGCCCTGACTCCCCATCTCCCCCCGCGCTGAGCTGCAGGTGAACTGCGGACCAGTGATCTGTGAACTTCTTGATCAACCCCACATGCCGCACCTCATGGACCTGGTGCAGCAGCGCCTGCGAGACAAGGATTCTGTCAATCCTCGAGCTCTCCTGAACTGCTGCTGCGTAGAAGGTATACTCCTGCAGGCAAGGATGGAGCGCCCTGAAGGCATCTCGGACATCAAAGTTGCTGCAGATGGACATTAATCTATCATTCTCTCCCCTTGAGCCAAGCCCCGAAATCTTATACAAAGCAGGGTCTTCGATAATGTTCAGATCTCCCGCCAACAGCAGCAGATTTCCAGCCGGTATTGCCGCCAAGAACGGCCGGAGCACATCGCGAAAGAATGGGGCTCTGGATGTCGGGCTCGCCGGGAAGTAAGCCGCGACAACCGTCACCATTACACCACGCCATGCCATATTCACCCGCGCCAGACGACCCGATGCATCCTTGACCTCATCTGAGCAGGACACTTCACTATTCCGTAAGACAATCGCCACACCCCCAGCCCTTGCTGCCGGAGTTACTGCAACCACCTTGTCCGCTTGCAGTTGGTTCCAAAAATTATGATCTCCTGAGATCCGTGTGTCCGCTAAAATGGCGATGTGAGCACCGTCTCTTATCCAGTCCTGAACATCCTGCTGCTTTTGCCTGCAGCTGAGACCATTGACGTTCAGGACGTTAAAGGTAAGGGTGGTGTGTTTACCCATTAATAACCATTGATGAGCCCCTCAGCATCCACGGGCTTGTGTTATTGGTGTTGCCGTAAGTGATGACTTCTGCTTTTATACTCCGTACAGGTACAATGACAGCTGGCACACTCCTACTACTCCACATGCCATCACACGACCGAGCTACTTCCCCTTCGCCTTCTCTGCACGGATCCCGTACAGCTTTTTCGCCGCGCGCAGGCTCTGCTTCGCCTTGGTCGCGCGAGTCGCCACACCTGCCGAGCCCAGAGCCGCACCATGGCTGAAGGAACCAATATGAGCCACTGCCTGTGCGAAAGAGTCGCCATGCGCCCGCTCGCAGCACTCCTGGACACACAGCCATTCTTCCACATTGGCTTCCGTCGAGATAAGGACCAACGCCGGGTCGCGGAGAATCTTCCTCACCACCCCTGCCGACTGGATGGAGGCCGCTGCAGTGGATATCCATCACAGCTCCGTCAGTACACAGGAAAAAAGCGATCAGGCAACGACAATGACCCCACGGTGAGATCCCCCCCCTATTACCGTTCATCGAATGGACCCTGCCTAGAGACAAGTTCCAGTTGCTGATGTTGTTGTGACGCTCATGCACATACACATCATGCAACTTATCCATGTGCGGTCCCTGGCAGAAGCAGCAGGACAACGATGGGTAGTGCACAAGGTACGTCGCCTCACTGAGCGGGTCCTCCACCACATGGCGCCAGCGGTACATGTCCCCTGGATGCGGGACCACCAACCCGCGAATCTTGTCCGTGTCCAATCCCGAAACAGGGTCAACCACACGGTGAAAGCCTGCGCCCTGCAAGAATGCTGAACGGCCGCGCTTCTGTAGCTTCGCAACCACCAGCGATTCATACACGATGAGCGGCGTGATCTCCGCCGGGACTCCCTTCAGCAGAACTTCCACTCCTTCCGGCAGGTCAGATTTCGCATTCACGTAAGCACGGTTCACCGGATGCAGCCAGCCAAACTGATGTTTCGTAGTTCTGACAATGTGCTCCACACGGTGCTGACGCACCACTTCCGCGTCTTCAGCCGTCGCGAGCGTGACTTGCAGGCGACTGAAGTGGATCTTGGAGATGAACGTCGGAAGCAGTTCCTGGAACGCGACATCGTCAAGTGCCTTGTCCGATAACTTCTTCTTTTGTTTCAGGAAGATCAGAAGCGCTTTCACCGAGGGCTTCACTGCGGCCATCTCCTTCGCCAGTTCGAACGGAATCAAGAGCGTCAGCGTAACTCGCGCCTTAGCCGCCAGTGCAACTTTAATCTGCACTTCAATGCCTTCTTCCGGGTCGTCGCTTAAGTAACCATCGTCGTCATCCTCGTCCTCCTCGCCCCCCCCTGCAGAGGCATATGTAGACGAGGCCGCAGGCGCAGGCGCCACTGGATCCGGAACTGGAGATGCAGAGGGTGGAGCAGAAGACGTTGACGCCGTCGCGACCACTGGAGCGACGCGACCATCAGCAGGGGGGGTGACACGAGTGCCAGCATCCGCGTCCGTACCAGCCGTCTGCTCCAGCGGCGGAGAGGTCTGGCCTTCTTGCGTCGTCATAGTAGCAGCAGCTTTCGTCGCCCTGGTCAAGATCGGCATACTCGTTTCCAAAGAAAGTGAAGCGTGGAAGTCCTTGAGTACTGCACCTTGACAGGTCGTCATAATATAGTACGCCTGCTTCTTCCTCGTTTTCCATTCCCAGGGCACCGCCTGGAGCTGCAGATACCAGGGGGAACAGTGGTCTTGAAAATAGTTCGAACATTTGGCAATGCCTGCGTGCCTCGATGACAGATTAGGTTGCCAATGTGGCACATAGTGGTCCTGAAACTGCCAGCTCGCACCATGATTGTATCTGGAAGGATAAAGGCACCTAGGTAATGTTTCCGATCTATGCAGGCAACACTTAAGCGACGATCTGACAGATCCTAGGTTTGATAACGACAATGAGCCTGGAACTCGATAAGCAAGAAAGGTACCTGCCTGATGGGCACAATTTGTATGTTTGCCTATAGAGAATTTCAAGCTGCATCGTATGGTGTAGTCTATATCAAAAATAGGTGACGTCTACCTAGACATTGCTTGGCCCGAAGCGCATGACAGGATCCATGGCGGCCTTAACATCACATCGCGATCCATCACGTCAGTTTCCATCATGGCTGCCAAGTTTTCTAGAAACACCTGAGTGCAGTGCACGCCTGCTTGTTCTGAAGCGCACCTGGAACATGATTCTGAAGAAGATACGGGAGGATGATGAGGTGTTCTCCTCTGTGAGGCGGATGTAGGAGAGCAGCGCCCAGGGCATGGCGTCGGTGGCGAGGAAGTGAGCGAACAGCCTATGGGCCTGTGAGCGCATGCTAGCCTGAACTGGACTTTTGAGACGTCTCAAAAGTATGCTAGCCTGAACTGGACTTTTGAGACGTCTCAAAAGTATGCTAGCCTGAACTGGACTTTTGAGACGTCTCAAAAGTATGCTAGCCTGAACTGGACTTTTGAGACGTCTCAAAAGTATGCTAGCCTGAACTGGACTTTTGAGACGTCTCAAAAGTATGCTAGCCTGAACTGGACTTTTGAGACGTCTCAAAAGTATGCTAGCCTGAACTGGACTTTTGAGACGTCTCAAAAGTATGCTAGCCTGAACTGGACCTCACCTGGAACATGATCTTGATGAAAATGCGCGATGAAGAGGACGTATCCTCCTCTGTGAGGCGAATATAAGAGAGCAGCGCCCAGGGCATGGCGTCAGTGGCGAGGAAGTGGGCAAAGAGAGCCCACTGCCCTGAGAGTGCAGCACTAGGGAGCATGAAAGCTCACCTGAGCGCACACCCTGCTGCACGAAAGCTCACCTGGAACATGATCTTGATGAAAATACGGGACGAGGAGGAGGTGTCCTCTTCGGTCAAGCGAATATAAGAGAGCAGCGCCCAGGGCATGGCGTCAGTGGCGAGGAAGTGAGCGAAGAGCTTGGCGACGTTGCGCAGCTTGTTGGTCTCGAGGCGGTGAATCATGCTGTACTGCTTCACAAAGCACTGCTCGAAACACTCCTGGTAGGCGCGGTTCAGCATGCTGGGGAAGGGAGGGGGGAGTGGGGAGGGGTGGATAGTGGTTGGAGGCGGTGAATCATGCTGTACTGCTTCACGAAGCATTCTTGGTAGGCGCGGTTCAGCATGCTGTGGTGGAAGGGAGGAGTGGGGAGAGGGAAAGCGAAAAAATGAGAGACGGAGAAATAGCTGAGGGAATGCGAACTTCACACAACAATGCCACCAGTTCCACTCCCACCACTATAATAGGTGCCCCAGCATTCAATACTAGCACAACTACGCTCCCTATCACCATCGCACCCCACATGATCATGCATTGTTTATAGTCACCTCCTCCATCCACACTCCCCCCCCCCTCCCCTCGTTTCCAGCTGCAATGCAACCACCCACCAGACCCGCTGCCCCAGGAGTACAACATAATGGAGGTAGTACCGCACCCCACCCACCAGAACCGCTGGCCCAGGAGAACCAAACAGCGGAGGTAGGAGCACCCAATACCAATACCACCATCTTGCATTGAGTTCACCTGACACTACCATACCACCACACCCCCCATCATCTGCTAGTACCGCACTCCACCCACCAGAAGTGCTGGCCCAGCAGCCCATAGTAGCGCAGGTAGGTGCGTCAATACCACCATCTTGCATTGCCATCACCTGGAACAACCACACCACACCCACCACCACCCCACCCACCAGAAGCGCTGGCCCAGCAGCCCATAGTAGCGCAGGTAGGTGTGCAAATACCACCATCACACACCCCATGTACATGCATTCTGGTCGCCCATCACTACCGCACTCCACCCACCAGAATCGCTGGCCCAGCAGCCCATAGTAGCGCAGGTAGGTGTGCAAATACCACCATCACACACCCCATGTACATGCATTCTGGTCGCCCATCACTACCGCACTCCACCCACCAGAATCGCTGGCCCAGCAGCCCATAGTAGCGCAGGTAGGTGCGCTCCTGGGAGCAGCAGGCTAGAAGCATCTCACACAGCTCCATCTGGGTGGGGGATGGAGGGTGGAGGGAGGGGAAGGAAGGAGGGTGGCGGGAAGAGGGAGAAGGGAGTGCGAGGAGGGAAGAGAGTGAGGACCATCACAAGAGCAGCAAGCGAGCAACATTTCACACAACTCCATTTGGGTGGGTGTTGGAGGGGGAGGGGAAGGAGAAAGGGGGGAAAAGGGAGGGAGGAGGAGGGAGGGGGGAGGAGAGAGGGGGAGGAGAGAGGGGGAGGAGAGGAAGGAGAGGTGTGAGGGGGAGTGGGGGGGCGGATCAGGGTCATGACAGTAACAGCAGGCGACCAGCACCTCACACAGCTTCATCTGCAATGGTGGTTGGGGAGAGGTGAAGAGAGAGGGGAAGAGCGGGAGGAGTGAGGGTGAGGGCCATAAAGCAGCAGCAGGCGAGTAGGATTTCACACAGCTTCATCTGCATGGGTGGGGGGAGTAGGGGGAGGGTCGTGTGTGGAGGGAAGGGAGGGGTGTGAGGGGGGAGGAGGGGATGATGAAGCATTCTATAAAGTGCCCAATGGAGTGAGGCTACATAACATTTCTGTTACAATAAGCACCAGAAAGGTGGTCAGGTACATTATCTTCATGAACGGCTTCAGGGTTATTAAAGACATCGCCACTCCCAGTAGATGTGGACTTTCGACTGGCAGGCGCATTGCCCCCTCCCTCCTCATCTATCAAGAGTGGGGGTGATCGCACCAACCACACCTATCAAGAGTGGTGATGTCTCTAATAGCCCTCCTGAAGCTGTTCATGAAGACAACGTAGCTGATCACTTTTCTGGTGCTTGTCATAATAAAAACGTTATGACGAGGTGAGGGGAGACACCTTAATGAGGGCCCCATCCCTCGCCTCGACCCCTCCCATCCCTCGCCTCGACCCCTCCCATCCCTCGCCTCGACCCCTCCCATCCCTCGCCTCACCTCCTTTCCCAACCCACCCTCTCCTGCCTGATCGACTTTCATGCCTCCCCTCACCCGCACCCTCCCCTCACCCGCACCCTCCCCTCACCCGCACCCTCCCCTCACCCGCACCCTCGCCTCACTTCCTGCCCACAGTGCAGGCTGATCGTCATAACCTCAAACCCCATCTTTCCCGAAGTGAGGCGCTTGGAGCGATCGCACACTAATCCCGCCAAGCGCCTCACTTCCAGTTCAAGGCCACAGCATCATTCCCCCATCCCCTCCTTCTCCTCTCACCCCCTCCCCGCCCCAAGACTCAACCCCCTCCCCCATGCCTCACCCCGTCCGCCCCTCACCTCCTGCCCCGGCTGCAGGTTGACCTTCATCAGCTTGTGCCCCGCCTCCTCAAAGTTGACCGAAGCCCCTCACCCCTCACATCATTCACGTAAATCCCTGTCCTCCATAGCTGCAACCCCTCCCCTCCCTCCCACCCCTCACCTCCTGCCCCGGCTGCAGGTTGACCTTCATCAGCTTGTGCCCCGCCTCCTCAAAGTTGACGGACGCCATGATGGTCAGGTAGATGGTGCGCCGCAGGTTCACCCCCTTCTGCTGCCTGCCTGACGATATTCCCTCACTCTAAACCCACTTTCCATGCACTCTGCCCCACTGGTCAAGCCCCTCAACCCCTCCCCTCCCATCCCTCCTCCCACCCCCCCCCCCTCCCCCCACCCCACCCCTCACCTCCTGCCCCGGCTGCAGGTTGACTTTCATCAGCTTGTGGCCCGCCTCCTCAAAGTTGACGGACGCCATGATGGTCAGATAGATGGTGCGCCGCAGATTCACCAGGTTGGTCTCCGTCTCGTCGCAAATCTCCTGCTGCTTCGCCTGCTCCTCCTCGTCCTCCTCCTCCTCACTGCTCTCCTCATCCTCCTCCTCCTCCTCGTCGTCGTCCCCCTTCTCGCCCTTGTCGTCCTCTTCCTCCTCCTCGTCTCCCAGGATCTCGGCTTTGATCTCCTTGTAGCGCTGCTCGTTGGCCAGGTAGTCGGGGTCGAACTTGAACACATCTGTGGGGGGGGGGGGGGGGGGGGGGAGAATGCAGGGGAAGGAGGGGAAGGAGGGGAAGGAGGGGGGAGAGAGAGACGGAAAGGGGGGAGGGGGCACATCAGGATCTCAGCTTTGATCTCCTTGTAGCGCTGCTCGTTGGCCAGGTAGTCGGGGTCGAACTTGAACACATCTGGCCAAGGAGGGAGTGGAAGGAGGGAGGGTTTGATGAAAGGGAGGACGCGGCAGGGAAGTGGAGGCAGTGAAGCAACGAGGCAGGTGGGTTCTGATGGCGACATTCAAGACAGACAGTGGTTTCCCCATGAGGTTCGAACAACAGCAAACCTGAACTCAAGGCAACACGCCCCAAGCAAAGTCGGGGGAAGGAGAGGGGGGTAAAGTACGTATCATGTGCAAGGGAAGGAGCACGAAATGGCGAGGAGGGAGCGGGGAAGAATGCACGGAGTACAAAAGAGGATAGCAAAAATAGTAACAGAGAAATAAAGAGGGACGAGGAGAACGAAAGAGGGCCCGACACTGAGACAAAGACCACCCTTGCCCACAAAATCCATCCTCGTTATAAGCTCGCTGCTCAACCAGAAAAGTCTCGGGGTCATACGGCTCCTCAAGGGAGAGCTCGTGGGTGATCTGATCCTCCTCCTCCACCAGATCTACCCTTTCAACGCAACACATCCTCGTTATAAGCTCACCAAGTGAAGTCTCGGGGTCATAAGGCTCCTCCAGCGACAGCTCGTGCGTGATCTGATCCTCCTCCTCCACCAGATCCAGCTCGGGGAGCACTGCTGGGAAGCCCTGAAGAAAGGGGGGACGGAACACGGTGGGTGGGGAATCACGATACGAGGTGAGCATGAAGCCAGGTGGGTGGAGTGATTGCCAGCTTGTGCGTGATTTGATTTGATCCTCCTCCACCAGATCCAGCTCGGGCAGCACTGCTGGGAAGCCCTGAGAGAGGGCAGGAGACACGGGGAGGAGGAGGGGCGGGGGGAGGTGTGCATGAGGCCAATGAAGTCAGTGAGCGAATAACAGCTTGTGGGTGGTCCAATCTGATCCCCCTCCTCCTCCTCCACCTCCTCCTCCAGATCGATCCCACGCTGCACGGCTGGGAAGCCGTGGAGAGGGTAAGAGACATGGGAGGGAGGGAGGGACGGGAAGAGGAGTGCATGAAGTCAGCAGGGGGAGAGATTGGGGTAAGAGACATGGGAGGCCGTGGAGAGGGTAAGAGACATGGGAGGCCGTGGAGAGGGTAAGAGACATGGGAGGGAGGGACGGGAAGACGTGTGCATGAAGTGAGCAGGGGAGAGATTGAGAGCTCGTGGTGATCCGACCCTCCTCCTCTATCAGGTCAAGCTCGGGGAGCCGCGCTGGGAAGCCCTGGGAGGGGGAGAGACGAGCATCGGGAGGGGGAGAGACGAGCATCGGGAGGGGGAGAGACGAGCATCGGGAGGGGTGTGAAGACGTGAGCATGAGGCCAGCAGGGTGCGCGTGTGATGTTGAGAGCTCGTGCAAGATCTGATCCCCCTCCCCCACCTGGGCAGGGCAGCACTGCGGGCAAGCCCTGAGAGAGGGAGATGGTTGGAACGGAGGCGAGTTGTGGTTGGAATGGAGGCGAGTTGTGGTTGGAATGGAGGCGAGTTGTGGTTGGAATGGAGGCGAGTTGTGGTTGGAATGGAGGCGAGTTGTGGTTGGAATGGAGGCGAGTTGTGGTTGGAATGGAGGCGAGTTGTGGTTGGAATGGAGGCGAGTTGTGGTTGGAATGGAGGCGAGTTGTGGTTGGAATGGAGGCGAGTTGTGGTTGGAATGGAGGCGAGTTGTGGTTGGAATGGAGGCGAGTTGTGGTTGGAATGGAGGCGAGTTGTGGTTGGAATGGAGGCGAGTTGTGGTTGGAATGGAGGCGAGTTGTGGTTGGAATGGAGGCGAGTTGTGGTTGGAATGGAGGCGAGTTGTGGTTGGAATGGAGGCGAGTTGTGGTTGGAATGGAGGCGAGTTGTGGTTGGAATGGAGGCGAGTTGTGGTTGGAATGGAGGCGAGTTGTGGTTGGAATGGAGGCGAGTTGTGGTTGGAATGGAGGCGAGTTGTGGTTGGAATGGAGGCGAGTTGTGGTTGGAATGGAGGCGAGTTGTGGTTGGAATGGAGGCGAGTTGTGGTTGGAATGGAGGCGAGTTGTGGTTGGAATGGAGGCGAGTTGTGGTTGGAATGGAGGCGAGTTGTGGTTGGAATGGAGGCGAGTTGTGGTTGGAATGGAGGCGAGTTGTGGTTGGAATGGAGGCGAGTTGTGGTTGGAATGGAGGCGAGTTGTGGTTGGAATGGAGGCGAGTTGTGGTTGGAATGGAGGCGAGTTGTGGTTGGAATGGAGGCGAGTTGTGGTTGGAATGGAGGCGAGTTGTGGTTGGAATGGAGGCGAGTTGTGGTTGGAATGGAGGCGAGTTGTGGTTGGAATGGAGGCGAGTTGTGGTTGGAATGGAGGCGAGTTGTGGTTAAGGCACCTCTTTAGCTACATCCGCAACAGCACCATGGGTGATCGATCCTCACCCCATCACACGCACCTCGAACTTGGCGTTGCGGATGGCAAAGAGACCTTCGATGGTGAGCTGAACTCGCACAGACACACACACCCATGCACACTTGCACGTGTACTGCCCATATGAATTATGTACTCCCCCACATCACGGGCACGCACCTCGAACTTGGCCTTGCGAATCGCGAAGAGCCCCTCAATGGTGAACTGCACACACAGCATCACCCGTGCCACCACCCATACACTCCCCATGCCCGCTCACCTCACCAACCACGCACCTCGAACTTGGCCTTGCGAATCGCGAAGAGCCCCTCGATGGTGAACTGCACGCGCTTGTCGATCTCCCCCTCGTGCAGGATGCCGCGGAAGCGCTCGAATATGCCTGCGAGGTGAGGGGTGGGAGGGGGAGGACGGGAAGGGAGGCAGGACGTGCAGCGATGCATCAGTGTGTGCACCACTCAGTCGGCACGGAGCATGCATTCAGTAGCCCAAGGCATGCATTCAGGGAGCATGCATTCATTAGCCCAAGGATCAAGACTCATCGTGGAGTAGCTGCAAGCCTGTAGCAAACACTTAAGCAATAGGATCAAGACTGTGAAACTTGCTGCGAGAAATTAGTGCAGCGATGCATCAGTGTGCGCACCACTCAGTTGGCAGGGAGCATGCATTCTCAGTTCGCATCCACATACACAGCACAGCACAGCACAGCACAGCACAGCACAGCACAGGGGCATTGGGGCGCAGATGATCAGTTCCATGGCTCTTGTGCAGCGTATGTGGACGCAGGCGCGTAAAATTCAACACAAAAGGTGGTTGATGGAAGGGGGGAAGCGGGTGGTGGCATGGCAAATGTACGCTGGACAGAAGATTGATGGGATGGGAGGGCTGAAACGGCACGAGGACGGAGAGCAACTGAAAAAACACGCACATACCAAGCAACTTGGCACTCCCTGTGGAGGCCATGTCACTGGGCTCTCCCAAGATTAATCCCAAGCCTAAGGCGAGAGCACTCACTGTGGAGGCTGGCCGGAACTCGCTGGGTTCACCCCAGCCTAAGCCCAAGCCTAAGGCAAGAGCACTCACTGTGAAGGCCCTGGGGCGAGAGGTCCTGCAGCATGGCGCCACACTCCTTCACGAAGCTCACTGCCACCTGGTTGGGAGTGGTTGAGAGTGGTTGGAAGTGGTCGGGGGTGGAAAGGGTGAGCAGGGTGAGCAGCTCGGGCAGCACGATACACCTTTCCATGCTCACCAGATACCACCTCACCCCCCACGCCTCGCCTCCCCCAGCCCTCGCCTCCCCCAGCCCTCGCCTCTCCCAGCCCTCACCTCCGACACTGTCATCAGTGGGCGTCTCCAGCAACAGTGTGAGCAGCTCGAGCGCCTATATCCTCCTGCACCAGGCATAGAGCTCACCAGATACCACCCCCCCAGCTCTCACCTCCACGCTGTCGTCAGTGGGCGTCTCCAGCAGCAGGATGGTGAACTACATCCTTCTTTACAGGCATGTGGTTCACCACGCTTGCAACGTTACTACATTCTCGAGCGGCACTATCCGCCTTTCCCTCTTCACCAGGTACCACCTCCCCCAGGCCTCACCTCCCCCACAACCCACCTCCCCCAGCCCAGCCCTCACCTCCACACTATCATCCGTGGGCGTCTCCAGCAGCAGTGTGAGCAGCTCGAGTGCCACGATCTCGTGAGCCACCTGCTGGTTGCAGAGGTGCGCGAGGAAGCGACATGCTGCCACCAGCACCGGCTGGAGGGGAGTGAGGGCGAAGGGGGGTTTATGATGGATATGAAGAGAGGCATGGGTGGGAGGGGAGGCAGCTCGGGCGCGACTATCTCGTGTGCCACCTGCTGATTCACCAGGTGGGTGAGGAAGCGACACAGCACCACCAGCACCGGGCGGGTGCAGTAAAGGGGGGAGGTAAATGAGGCAAAGGAGTCAAAGGAGGGAGGGAGGCAGCTCAAGCGCCACCATCTCATGAGCCACCCGCTGGTTGCGGAGATGGGCGAGGAAGCGACACGCCGCCACCAGCACCCGCTGCAGTGAGCGGGAGGTGGGTAGGGAAAGGGCGGTTGGAAATATAGTAAGGGGCAAGGAGGGGAGGCAGGTCGAGCGCGACTACCTCGTGGGCCACCTGTTGGTTGACCAGGTGGGCCAGGAAGCGACACGCCGCCACCAGCACCGGCTGCAGGAGATAGAGGGGGAGGAGTGGTGGTGGGGAGAGGGGGCGCGGGGATGGGAGATGGTTGAAGCGTCAAGGGGATGGAGAGACATTGAGAGGAGAGACTGGAAGTCACATGGAGTGCCACCTGCTGGTTACCACGTAACGCTGGGTTGTGAAGGAGGCGGGAGGCGACCAGGAACGTGAAGCATCGCCCATCACAGATGTGTGACCGTCACGTGCCCCATCTCCCCTCACCAGCCCGCGCAACAAGCTCCCTGCCTACAGGACAAGCAGGCCACCCTTTTTCCCATTCACCCTCCACCTTGTCGTTGCGTCGGAACGCCCGCCTGAACTGCAGAATAATCCTCTTCAGCATCAGCTCCCCTAGCTCTGGGAACTTGGTGCTCACCACCGCAACTAGCCTACCACCGTGTCCACCGTTTCCCCTCACCTACTCCCTTCCCCTCCCTCCCTTCCCTCCCCTCTCACCTTGTCGTTGCGTCAAAACGCCCGCCTGAACTGCAGAATGATCCTCTTCAGAAGCAGGTCGCCCAACTTGGGGAACTTGGTATTCACCACGTCCACCAGCACCCGAGCAACAAGTTCCCAGCGAACAGGGGGAGGAGACTAGACCACCTTTTTCCCTTCACCCCTCACCTTGTCATTGCGCCGGAAGGCCCTCCTGAACTGCAGGATGATCCTCTTGAGCAGCAGCTCGCCCAGCTCGGGGAACTTGGTATTCACCACCGCCACCAGCGCCGCAAACACGTGAGTGAACGTGGGGCTGGCCATCTGCGACTTGATGCACGCGCGGCACAGCAGCCCCCTGCCGCGCACCAGGTTCTCCGCAAAGAGCTCGGGAATGATGTTCTTGATGTTGCTGGCGTTGACTTTGTTGACCAGCCCGTTGATGGACTTGCGCAGCGCGTCCCACGTGAGGCGCTGGTACTCCGCGCTGCTGCGGTCGTTCACCTCCTGCAGCATGCGCGCCAGCTTGAACGGCGGGATGTACGCGCCTCCCGTGCGCCCTGTGTCCCGCGCTGCTGCTGCCTTGCCTGCTGCCGGACCTGCGCCTGGGCCTGCTGCTCCGCCAGCAGCGGCAGCAGCGGCGGGGGCAGGAGTGGCGGCAGCATCAGCATTGGGTGCGCGCACGGGAGCCCCCCGCCCGTCGCCCCGCCTCTCCTCTCCCTCCCACTCGCCCCTCCCCCTCTCTCGCCGCCCCTCCTCTCGCCTGCCTTCCTCATGCCTCCTGTGCCTATCTTCCCTTCCTCTCCCCCTTACCCCCCCCCTCTCCCTCTCTCGCTCCCTCTCCCACTCGCCGCTGCTCTCACTCCCATCCGAATCGGACCCTCCCCGCCTGTGCCGGCCCGACCTGCCCCTCCCCCTCCTGCCGTCTCGCTCCCTCTCCCTCTCCATCTCGCCATCCCATCGCCTATCCCTGCCACCATCATCCTCTCTCTCCCTTCGCCTCCCATCCACGTCATCCCTTCCTCGTCCCCTCTCGCTCTCCCTGCCCCTCCCGCCGTCCCTGACCCTAATCACATCTCGCTCGCGCTCACCTTCCCCCAAGCCATCCCTCGCCCTCATCTGATCTCTCTCCCTCCTCCCCTCACCCTTATCACGCTCCTCCCGCTCCTCGCTCTCCGCGCGACCCCCGCGCCTCCCCTCCTCCCCGCGCTTCTCCTTCCGCCCAACCCGCACCCTCTCCATCAGAAAATTGTCGAACTGCCTAAAACTGGGTGATGAGTACTTAGCTTTTTTTTAGGGTTGCCGAGTGCCCTGTAATTGGCCGTTTACTCTAAGGGAAGGGTTGTGAGTTCAGACGCGGGGGTAAAGTGGCGGTTGTTGTCTGTTGTGGCTGATTTTCGTGATTATCTCGGATCGCGACTTTCAGGGGAAAACGAGCAGGTTTTAGGCTGGAAGAACATGGCAGTTTACTGGCGGGAACATGACGATGCCTGACGGGGAGGCTCGATCAGGTACACCCTGTTTCTCACTACACTGAACTGTGCTGAACTGATGGAAAACCTAGTTACCTTCGATTTGTCTGATTGAACCATACTTAGACTTAATCTAACCACCGTTAACCGTGCTTTTCCCATCTTGACTTCACTATAACCGAATTCACAATGGCGAGAAAGAGGGTGTAGAGAGCTGCAGAATGCTGCAGATTACGCCAGACTGCACGGGTCAATCTCGATCTTCATGTGCAAACAACTTTGCTTTGCCACGTCATCTGATGGCGTTTGTTCATCTGGTTCTAGTTTCGCGATATCATGTGAATCCACTCTAAGAATTGAAAAGGTTTTATTTACAATATGTTTTTAAATACGATTTGTAATGTATGTGAAACTTTTTGGTTGGAAGAGAAACCATAATATATTAGGACAGCAAAACTACACGCATTGTAGGGCAGGGACAAATGCGATCAGCTCCGTTTTTATCAATTACAGAAACAACTAAGTTATTCAGAGAATGATAAATTCACATTTCGCCGCCGCATCATGCCAAATTCAGGTATTCCGATCAATTACCTTGCCGTATGAACTTGTTTGAGCTCGTTCGCACAACTACGCAGCACGTGACGCTTGTTTGTGTGTTCGATGGTTTGAAACTGCGCGAGGATAGGCCAGTACTGTACGCAACATGTCACAGTTTCATCATCTGGTTGTCCTTTTTAGCACCATTTCTCCACACATTCGGGTATTTCAATCAATTACTTTGCCATAGGAACTGGTTTTAGTTCATTCGCACAACTACGCAGCACGTGACACTTGTTTGTGTGTTTGATGGCCTGAAATTGTGCAAGGATATGCGAGTACGCAACATATCACAGTTTTATCATCTGGCTGCCATGTTTAGCACAATTTCCCCACACATTCAGGTAGTTTAATCAATTACCTTGCCGTAGGAACTGGTTTGAGTTAATTCGCACAACTACGCAGCACGTGACGCTTGTTTGTGCGTTCGATGGCCTGAAACTGGGTTTAGGGTAGGCCAGTACGCAACATGTCACCGTTTCATCGTCTGGCTGTCTTTTTTAGCACCATTTCTTAACACATTCAGGTAGTTCATTAAATTACCTTGCCATAGGAACTGGTTTGAGTTAATTTGCACAACTACGCAACACGTGACGTTTGTTTGTGCGCTTGCTGGCCTGAATCTGTGCAAGGATAGGCCTGTGCGCAACATGTCAGCTCGCGAACGTCAGGATGCATTTTTTAGCTATTGCTTCACACTGTTCCCTACTACATCCTATTACCTAGCCATAGGAACTGGTTTGACCTCATTCACACAACTACGCAGCACGTGGCGCATGTTTGTGCGTTTGCTGGCTTGAATCTGTGCAAGGATAGGCCTGTGGGCAACATGTCAGCTCGCCAACGTCTGGATGCTTTTTTTAGCACTATTTCTTCACACAGTTCTCTACTACATCCTATTTTCTAGCCATAGGAACTGGTTTGACATCGTTCGCACAACTACGCAGCACGTAGCGCATGTTTGTGCGTTTGCTGGCTTGAATCTGTTCAAGGATAGGCCTGTGCGCAACATGTCAGCTCGCCAACGTCTGGATGCCTTTTTTAGCACTATTTCTTCATACGCTTCTCTACTACATCATATTCCCTAGCCATAGGAACTGGTTTGACCTCGTTCGCACAACTACGCAGCACGTGGCGCATGTTTGTGCGTTTGCTGGCTTGAATCTGTGCAAGGATAGGCCTGTGCGCAACATGTAAGCTCGCCAACGTCGGGATGCCTTTTTTAGCACTATTTCTTCACACGCTTCCATACTACATCCTTTTTCCTACCCATAGGAACTGGTTTGACCTCGTTCGCACAACTACTCAACACGTGGCGCATGTTTGTGCGCTTGCTGGCTTGAATCTGTGCAAGGATAGGCCTGTGCGCAACATGCTACTGTTTCAACGTCTGGGTGTTGTTTTTTGTCAAACATTATATGTGGTGTGCTTGTTTAGGCTACAGTGGGTTAGCCTATAGGGGGTACACAATTCTAGGGTTAGGTACTTGTACTGCTTTCACTGTTAGTTCAATCATTCTCGTTCCATTCTAAGATTCTAACATGGTATCACGAGCCTAGGTTGCTACCTAGGACCGCTTTCTACAATGGGCCCACTATTCCGCTAGAAGCGCCCTCGTGCGCCCCACCCTACGTGCGCCCTCGTGCGCCTTTCTCTGCTAGTGCGCCTTCGTGCGCCCTCGTGCGCCCTCGTGCGCCCTTCACTCCTAGTGTGCCTTCGTGCGCCTTCGTGCGCCCTCGTGCGCCCTCGTGCGCCTTCGTGCGCCCTCGTGCGCCCTCGAGCCGCCCCTGCAGGTCCCTCAGGCCCCCGAGCCGCCTCTGCAGACCCATCAGGCCCCCCCCGAGCCGCCTCTGCAGGCCCGTCAAGCCCGAGAGCCGCCCCTGCAGACTCGTCAGGCCCGCGCGCAGCCTCTGCCCAACCGCGCGCCGCCCCTGCAGGCTCTAGCCGCCCGCCGCGTCGCCTTGCCCGCGACGTCGCCCCTGCCCGCGGCGTCGCCTACCCGCGGCGTCGTTGCCTACCCGCGGCGTCGTCCCCTGCCCGCGACGTCGCCCCTGCCCGCGGCGTCGCCTACCCGCGGCGTCGTCGCCTACCCGCGGCGTCGTCCCCTGCCCGCGACGTCGCCCCTGCCCGCGGCGTCGTCGCCTGCCCGCGGCGTCGTCGCCTACCCGCGGCGTCGTCCCCTGCCCGCGACGTCGCCCCTGCCCGCGACGTCGCCTACCCGCGGCATCGTCGACTGCCAGCGACGTCGCCCCTGCCCGCGGCGTCGTCGCTTGCCCGCGGCATCGTCGCCTACCCGCGGCGTCGCCACCTGCTCGCGGCGTCGCCCTACTCGCGGCGTCGCCACCTGCCCGCCGCGTCGCCCTGCCCACGGCGTCGCCCTGCCCGCCGCGTCGCCCTGCACGCCGCGTCGCCCTGACCTAATCCGCCCCTCGCCCCTGAAGCAGTCGCCACTGCAGGAGCCGCCCCTGGAGCCGCCCGCCACTACAGCAGCAGCCCCTGGAGCCGCCCGCCACTGCAGCAGCAGCCCCTGGAGCCGCCCGCCACTGCAGCAGCAGCCCCTGGAGCCGCCCGCCACTACAGCAGCCGCCCCTGGAGCCGCCCGCCGCTGCAGCAACCGCCCCTGGAGCAGCCCGCCACTGCAGCAGCCGCCCCTGGAGCCGACCGCCACTGCAGCAGCAGCCCCTGGAGCCGCCTGCCACTATAGCAGCCGCCCCTGGAGCCGCCCGCCACTGCAGCAGCAGCCCCTGGAGTCGCCCGCCACTGCAGCAGCAGCCCCTGGAGCCGCTCGCCCTGCAGCAGCTGCCGCGGAGCTCCCTGCTGCGGCCCGGCCCCACCCTGCAGTTGTAGCGGCCCCGCTATCGCCACCGCCTTGCGCCTGCCGCGCCGACCACTGGTGAGCATTGCCCTGCCAGCACTGCTACTGCTGCTACTGCATTTTCTACTCCCACTGCTCCTGCTCCTACTGTTACTGCTGTTACTGCTGCTACTGCTACTACTGCTGCTCCTGGCGTGGCCAGATGCAGCTCCAGGGCCGTGCGCGTGAGTCCCTCACGCCCCAGCAGCTTCGTGAGTGGTACGCTAGTTGGGGCTGTCGGGGTGGCCGTAGTGGTAGTCGCTCTGGAGTGGGTCGGTCGGGAACTTCTAGTAGTGGATAGGTGCAGCTGCCGTGTTCTCTTTCGCCCCAGCAGCTTCGTGCATGGTACGCCAGTTGGGGCTGTCGGGGTAGCCGTCGTGGTAGTCGCTCTGGGGTGGGTCGGTCGAGAGCTTCTGGTAGTGGACAGGTGCAGCTGCCGTGTCCTCTTTCACCCGAGCAGCTTCGTGAGTGGTACGCCAGTTGGGGCTGTCGGGGTGGCAGTAGTGGTAGTCGCTCTGGAGTGGGTCGGTCGGGAGCTTCTGGTGATGGGTGCAGCTGCCGTGTCCTGTGAGTGAGGCAGCCGCTCTAGGTGCTACTGCGGCTACTACCCCATGTGCTGGTGAGGCTGCTGCTCTAGGTGCTAGTGAGTCTGCGCCCCCTGGTACTGAGTCGACTGAGGCACTGCACACCTTCACTCTGGACTCAGGTGCTTCTCGCTGTTTCTTTCGTGACCGCACTGCCCTTGAGCCGCTTGCTCGGCCAGTTGCTGTCTCCCTCGCTGACCCCTCTGGGGGTCCGGTCATTGCGACCTCCTCCACTGTCCTTCCTTGTCCTGCGGTCCCGTCGGGCACACTGTCAGGTCTCCACCTCCCCTCGTTCTCTACGAACTTGGTGGCGGGTTGTGCGCTCCAGGACGGAGGTGTTCACCAGTTCACCCCTGCCTACGAGCGCGTGACACACTGCACGTGTGCTCGGACGGGCCGTCACCTGGCTACCTTCACGCGGCAGCCGGGGTCGGACCTGTACACACTGACCACTGAGTCCCCTCAGGTCGCTGCGTTTGGGTCTGCGTCTGCGTCAGGTCAGCTGTCGCCTCCCTGCTCGTGTCACTCTCTGGCGCACGAGACCGTCCTCTGGCACCACCGACTTGGTCACCCGTCTGTGCAGCGCCTTCGTGCCATGCACAGACGGTACCTTGTCTCTGGTCTTCCCAGGGTCCTCCCTCCCCTCCCACCCTCGCCTGCTCCTCCCTGTCTTCCCTGTGTCGAGGGGCGGCAGCGCGCCGCTCCTCACTCCTCCTCGTTTCCCCCGACAAC